TTTCTTCATGCCTTCTCACCTTATCTTAATCACTTGTCAGAGATTAACCTGTTTGTCATGATTTCCATGTTCTTATGGTCATTTCTTTTCTTCTCATCGTAATGGTGGTATTTCATTTGGCAGGTATGTGTTGACATAGATGGAAAATTTGTCTGCCTGACTATCAGTTTGTAAATCTGTGTTGCGTTCTGGGTCTCAGTTATTTGTGCTGTTCCTATACTGTGATTGATTTATTCAATGGCAAACCATGATCTGATACTTGGACAAAGCCACAATTTAGCATTGGGGCAAAATCAGCCACTGGTGCTAGGCCATAACCATAATTTGGGTCTCACCCAGAACCATAATTTGGAATTAGGACAAGCCCATGAGCATCAGTTAGGCTTGGGACAGGCACATGATCATGACCTAGGTTTAGCGCATTCTCATGACCATGAATTGGATTTAAGACAGAACCATGACCAAGAAGGGGATGTTGGTCACAGTTATGGGCATGATAATGACTTAGCTACTGATCGAAAACCTGACCAGGGTGACCATGAGTTGGCTTTATCAGAGAATAATGAATTGGCTATTTCAGAAAACCAAGAGCTTGATGATAATCTAGTATTGGCTGTGGATGACAACCCAGAGATGGGAATTGATCCTGCCCGAGATTTGCAGCACTCCCAGATTTTAGATAGTCTGCCTCCTGTCCTTCAGGTTCGGAATTCAAATCCGAGTTATGAATTGGCGGTTGGGCAAGAGTTCCCTGATGTCAAAAGCTGCCGCAGGGCATTGAGGGATACAGCTATTGCCCTTCACTTTGAAATGCAGACCATAAAATCTGACAAGACTCGTTTCACTGCCAAATGTGCGAGTGAAGGATGTCCCTGGCGTATACATGCAGCAAAGCTCCCTGGTGTTCCAACATTCACAATTAGAACCATCAATGAGACACATACATGCGGAGGGATTGATCATCTTGGCCATCAACAAGCATCTGTGCAGTGGGTGGCAAACTCTGTGGAGCAGCGATTAAGGGAGAACCCTAACTACAAGCCAAAGGAGATATTGGAAGAGATTCACCGGGTTCATGGAATAACCTTATCTTACAAGCAAGCCTGGCGGGGCAAGGAGCGTATCATGGCTGCTATGCATGGATCTTTCGAGGAAGGGTATCGCTTACTCCCTCAGTATTGTGAACAGGTTAAGCGGACAAATCCAGGGAGTATTTCATCTGTCTATGGAAACCTGACAGATCATTGTTTCCAGCGTCTCTTCATATCATTTCAGGCCTCTATTTATGGTTTTCTGAATGCTTGTCGACCACTCCTTGGGTTAGATAGGACATTTTTGAAAAGTAAGTATCTTGGAACTTTACTTCTTGCTACTGGTTTTGATGGTGATGGTGCTTTGTTTCCTGTGGCATTTGGCGTTGTTGATGAGGAGAATGATGACAACTGGATGTGGTTTCTCTCTGAACTTCATAACCTGCTTGAAATTAATACAGAAAACATGCCAAGGCTTACAATTTTGTCTGATAGACAGAAAGGCATTGTAGATGGTGTTGAAGCAAATTTTCCTACTGCTTTTCATGGATTTTGCATGCGTCACTTGAGTGAAAGCTTTCGAAAGGAGTTCAATAATACTATGCTAGTCAGCCTTCTATGGGACGCCGCTCATGCCCTGACTGTAATTGAATTTGAAGCAAAGATTCTTGAGATTGAAGGGATATCACAAGATGCTGGGTATTGGATCCAACGAATCCCTCCTCGACTGTGGGCAACAGCTTATTTTGAAGGCACACGGTTTGGGCATCTAACAGCTAACATAATTGAATCACTGAATTCTTGGATTTTAGAAGCTTCAGGGCTTCCAATAATTCAGATGATGGAATGCATTAGGAGACAGCTTATGACTTGGTTCAATGAACGGCGAGAGACAAGTATGCAGTGGACATCAATACTCGTGCCTTCTGCTGAAAGACGTGTTGCAGAGGCCCTTGAATGTGCACGCACATATCAGGTGCTTCGTGCTAATGAAGCTGAATTTGAAGTTATATCTCATGAAGGGACAAATATTGTGGACATTCGCAATCGCTGTTGCCTTTGTCGTGGCTGGCAGTTGTATGGTTTGCCCTGTGCACATGCTGTAGCAGCACTTCTTTCTTGCAGGCAGAATGTTCATCGATTTACCGAGAGCTGTTTCACTGTTGCAACATATCGGAAGACATATTCTCAGACCATTCATCCTATTCCAGATAAAAGTCTATGGAAAGAGTTGTCTGAGGGGGATCCAAATGCCAACAAAATTGTTGCAGTTATCATCCAACCACCCAAATCACTTAAGCCACCTGGTCGACCGCGAAAGAAGCGAGTTCGAGCAGAAGATCGTGGCCGTGTGAAGCGGGTTGTTCATTGTAGCCGTTGCAATCAGACAGGCCATTTTAGAACAACATGTGCAGCACCAATATAAGTTCTGATTTTCTAATAAGTTGATTTGCTGCTAGAGAACTTGGGTATGTCCCATCTGTGCAAAAGGATTCTTGCTTTCCTTTTTTTTAATAATTTAGTGTTTATTAGGTATTAGATTTGCAAGTAAATGCTTTGTTCTATTTCTGTGATTTATATGAATTATGCCCTGTATCAGCTATCCACTTGTCCTATATGAATATTCCCTTCAATAATATATATGTAATTGTTGAGGATTGATCCCATGATTACTATTTTCTCTACTCAATCCCATGAGTTTATGTGTATTTTCCCATCATTTTTTTTTCTTTGACCAATTCCCATCATTCTTTGAGTAATCAACTAATCATATTTTCTATTTTTTGAAAATTTAGTGATCTTATTTTTTAATATTGACTTGGATGTGAGTACCTAAACAAAATTATAGAACTAATTTATCCCATTAAATAAATCAAAATGAACTAATTGGTCAGGTTGAAAATCTCCACGTTCTACTTGTTCCTGTTCATGACCAGTCAACACGGTTCTGCATTTTTTTTTTTAATTTTAAGGACCTCCATGACAAGACCAAGAAGCAAAATGCTTAATTTTGGTAAAAAAAAAAACCAAAAATTTAATATTCCAGTTAGCTCAACGGTCAAATCAAAGCAAACCTCCTGAATTTCCCAACAATGACATATCTTTGTAACTCCCAATTATCGTCATTGGTCGGTCTCTCCTTCACCGTCCAGCCATACCAATCATCAGCTTTATAAAAAGTAGAATTTTTTTTTTTCTGAAAATAAAAACAACTCATGTTTCCATTAAAAAAGAAAAACCCATATTCCATTGATCCTCCGTAACCATTTGTTTCTCAAAAAAGAAGTGAAATAAAGTTAGAAAAAGTTTTTTTTTTTTGGGTTTTTGACGGTTAATTTTATCTGGGAAATTTGCTTTTGTATTTGTCTTTCTTTTACTTTAGCTTTTTTGTATTTATTTTCTAATCAGCAGCCGACTTTTTGGTCTCTGTCGGCTGTTTTTTTAACTCTTTTATTTTCACCTTTTTTATTCAAGTAAAAATTTCCTTTTATAAGATAATAGAAATAGGTGCAATCTTTGTTTCTATCTGTTTTGTTTATTCTTATATAAAAACTACTTTAATTTTGTTTTCTTTGTTTCAATCTCTCTTTCTTCAATAACTGTTACATAGGTTTTGTTTTTTGTAATAAATTTGAAGATAGGTGACTTTGATTTGACGCTTTTCCTCTGAATTCTCAGTGGTTTTTTTTGGTTTTCTTCCTTGAGTTTCTCAGGTTAACAGGTCAGCTTTCTCTTTTCACAACTTATAAAAGTTTTTTTTTTTCCTTGGGGAAATATCATTCTTTGACTTGTATATATAATCCAATTATGTTTTTGGATGATGTTAATATGATCAAGTTTTATTGAGTTGGTACTTTGGTAGAAAATTTGGGTTTTTGATGGATTTTGATTGGGTCATGTGTGAGTATTGGTTGAAAGTTTATACTTTTTTGTTAGCTTCTGATTTAGGCTTGGTGCTGATGGTTTTCTGTTATTGCTTAAAATTGGTTTTATAAAGCTAGTCTTTATCCATGGCCCATGTTGATCCTTCAGAACAAACGAGTTTGTTGTCTCCTGCTACAAATTTGTTTTGTTGGTTTCTTGTTTAGGCTATTTGTTTGTGTTCTTATTAGTTGAAACGTTGCATATGTCCAGAATGGTTTTTCCTTTTTCTTTTTCAATGATGCTTTATACCTTCCTTTTGTGAATGTATTTGGTTTATATTGATCTTGTATGAGAAATGCTTTTGGTTGTGCTTGAGTTTGTTTTAATACAAGAATTTAGTTCATTAGTTTGTTATTTGAGATATATGTTTGGCAATTATGGCTATTGATCCAATACTTGACTAAATTATTTGAACTTAATTGTTGTTTTTTTCACCTCTCTTGCATGCATACATCTTCTATGAGAAGTCGTATCTCAAGTTGTTACTAAATGCATGGAGACAATCATGCATGTTGTTGTTGGTGAAGAATTTTATGTCATAGAATTTATTTATCAGAAATATGTCTTCATTGGTGTATGTTTGGCTTCTGAGTTGCAATTATTTTATTTTACTTAGCTGAAAGGTTTGCATGTTAGCAGTTGATGCTGTGCCTATGTCTTTTGTAGATTTTTTTTTTTTTTTTTTATTTCAAAAATTGATGGTTCTGTTGGTCTTATCCTGGAATAAATTTTTTTAACTTTGCACCAATTAGTAGCTAATTTGGACTATTTTAGTGTTCATGGAAATTGCTCTTTTATAGGTAATGGCTGCATTTATTAATTTTCTCCATTGTTGTTAAATTTTTGTTAGTTGGGCAAGTGTTTCTTTTTCTTCTATCTGTGAGGAAGACATGGTTCTAGAACTGTTTTTGCCACAAACCCTTTTCTCCTTTTCACATATCTCTGTGGATCTTTGTTTATTTGCAGTATTGAATCTCGCCTTGGATTATTGATTTCATTGGGAGGATTGAACTTTGCTTTATTTCAAGCAGTTAGTATCTTGTTCTGAAGTTAAGCGATCTCCTGGAGCATGGCTAGAGGGGGAATTTCATCTGTTAACTCAGAGAAATTTTCTAATCGGTTTACTAGCGCTTTGTCATCCGCCTTTCTTGAATGGTTGCTGCTTTTTATGCTCCTTATTGATGCTATTATTTCATACATAATCACAAAATTTGCTCATAAATGCAAATTGCAAATCCCATGTTTGCTATGCTCAAGACTTGATCATGTTTTTGGCAAAGAAAAGCTGAAATTTTATTGGGATCTGGTATGTGGTGATCATAAGTTGGAGATTTCATCCTTAGTTTACTGTCATGCCCACAACAAGCTTGTTGATGTTCATGGAACGTGTGAAAGTTGCCTTTTCTCATTTGCTACAATAAATAAGTCTAATGCTGAAACCTATAGATTATTGGTCGGTAAGCTGGGGGAAGATTTTGGCTATGGTCTTGAGAAGGACCGATCCCTTGAGAATCATAAACTTGGACATTCAACTGTAAGGCACTGTTCTTGTTGCAATGACCCATGGATGCCAAAAGGGCATATCAAAACATTGATACAGACACAATCAGCTGTGTCTCAGGCTGCTGAATTTGATCTACCTTTACCTGTTTCTGTAGAACATGGTCAGGATGACCAGAGCAGAAGTGACAATGTGTCTATTTCAGTTAAAGTTACACATCAGAGAAAAAATGGGCCTGATCCTCTATCTCATGTAGCATATACAGGGCTTACGATTACTTCTGATTCTGAATCTGAGGTGTCTAATGATGCTGGCAATGAGGAAGATGCTCTAATTATCGAAACTGATCATCTACAAAGAGATATTGTTGATCAACATGAGCAGCCAGAGTCTCGTACTATTACTTTGTCAGACGATTTTGCTTCGGAGAAGTTGATGGATCCTGTTTCTGAACCTAAGCCTTCAATTTTCATCTCACAGGCACAATCAGACATCATTAAGCCTCTCGGATCTAAATCAGTGGAATCTACTGACTCAAGTGAACATGGCTTGGAGGAACTTAATTGGAAGCAAGCCATTAGCAAAACTGAGCCCTTTGCTTTTTCTGAGCTTATTTTTCTTGATGAGGTCCCTTTATCATCAAACGGTGGGGAAGCTTCTATTGATGTGTCAACAGAAATGAATCTTAATTGCCTTGATAAGGTCCCTTCAATGTCAAATGCTGGTGAAATTCCTATTCAAGGGTCAGAAGACAGTAAGCTTATTTCCGTTGATTATGTGTCTTCGTCATCACTTGGCAATGAAACTCCTGTCGAAGTGTCAAAGAGCAAGCCTATTATCATTGATGATGTTTCTCCATCAAATGTTGTTGCATCTTCTGTTGAAGAATCAAAAGAGAGTAGTAAGTTGAACTTCCTCACAGTTTTCCTGCTCTCTTTTTGGTTCAGTTTTGCATATGAAGAGAAAACCTGAATAGCTTGTAGATGTTATGAGTCTGTTAGGCCTCCTCCACATTCTCTCCATAATTTTTGTTATGAAACATACTTATATATGACCTAATATTTGAGGTGCAATCAATAAATTCTCTTAAGGTCCAAGATGTGTCAGATGCATTTCCAAAATGAAGGAAGTAATTTCCAAATCATGGACATGCTCTTGAGAGATTTTAGTTAAAAAAAAAAAGGAATTCCCTGATCTGCTTTGTAGTTTGTAGAAATATCCATCCTACTTTTACTTTTTGTTTATATCAGGTGCTGTGACACCCCAAATAACTTGCATGTTATGGCTAATCTCTGTGGCGTTATTTTTTCATTTAATAATTTTGTCACTAGGTGTTACGAGAACTCTTGAAGTTGAGAAGAAATCCTTGACCAAGTGTGAGGAAATCTGCAAATCCACAGAGCAGCCACTTCCAATACCTGAATCACCAATAGAAAAGAACCTTGTTGCAAGTTACAGTAGCATGCGATCACCCAATTCATTGGAACTAAGCGATGCTTATAAGCTTGCTGTAGGTAGTAAAGGAAGACAATTGTCTGGTTTGCTTGTTGAACAATGGATTGGAAAAGATTCTTCTAGACTTAGTGAGGATCTGAAGGGGTTATTGTCACAATTATCTGCTGCTCGAGGGATTGAGCAATCAATGAACGATGTAAGTCCTAGGATTGGTGCAAGTCCTAGCATATCTATAAAAAGTGACGAAATAAAGGCTTCGGATTCTCCTACATTTGAAGGACTACAAATACTTCAAAAGAGGATCTCACTTGAGAGAAATGAGTCTGGCTTGTCTATAGATGGAAGCATTGTTAGTGAAATTGAAGGTGAAAGTGTGGTTGATCGGCTAAAACGACAGGTTGAGCATGACAAGAAATTATTGAGCGCATTGTATAAGGAATTGGAAGAAGAAAGAAATGCCTCTGCAGTTGCTGCAAATCAAGCAATGGCCATGATTACTCGACTGCAGGAGGAGAAGGCAAAACTCCACATGGAAGCCTTGCAGAATCTCAGAATGATGGAAGAACAAGCTGAGTATGATATGGAAGCACTGCAAAAAACAAATGACCTCCTTACGGGGAAGGAGAAGGAGATTCAAGATCTACAAGCAGAGCTAGAATTTTACAGGATGAAGTTCCCTAATGATTTGATGCTGGGGGACACAGTGAAGTCGGCGCATGATTTGAAAGCAAGACAGGGCACAGTGGATCATTCAGAAGCTAATGGCATTGAAGAGAGGGCAAGCGTACTTATAGAGCCAGTTGATGAAAAAGTTAATATCTGCTCCACGGTTGAAGAAACAGATCAGTCTTGCAGGGACACAAACAAAGACACCATGAAGAATCCATTGTCAGGATATGAAAAATAATACCATGAAGAATTCGTTGCTTGAGGCTTTATGTACAAAAACTATAAAGGTAAGTACTTTGATTTTCATTTCTATACTATGTTTTTTCACCTCCTAAGTATTGAATTTCTTGCTGATAGAGGGATGCATTTGAAAGCAGAAGTATTTGCAAATAATCCGTTGTGACATGTTCATGTCATGACGTTATGGAAGTAGCTAGGTTGATTTAAGAAACAATTTATAAAAGGTGAAAATAATAAGAAAATTCAACTTGAGTGTGTGTCATTTCCAGAATCTAAACAATTTATATTAGTTCATAAACTTGGATGAAGGATAAAGAAAAACTCATTATTTTTCTTTCAAAAAGTTCGCTGCTTTTGGGAGTGAAAATGCAGTGCGTGAAATGAAGTCACTTTTGCTTAAAGGAAGCCAAATATGATACAAAGTTGATTTTCATTTGCTTTCCAACAAGCTCAATCAGCTTCTCTTGCTTATTTGATTGATGTAACAGATGCCTGCAAGAGATGACATGCTGGTGCTACTCGAATAAGCTTGAATATACAACAGGGAAAAAAACCTGGTGATGACGACTGGCCATCCATTGTACAGTATTGCTGAGTCTGCTTTCTCCTTAGGCAGAACCCGATATAGGACATGATTTTATACAGTGTGTTCCTTTTATTTCCCCAGTTTTTTTTCCAGGGGTTCCATAGGTTGTAGCTGACTTGTTTTGCATACCATCAAAAATGGAGTTGGTGAGATTTTTCCTTTTCATTTTTCTCTTGGTAATCTGTGTTTGAAGGTGTTTTTCTTTTTCTTTTTTTTTTTCCATACTTTTTAGCTACAAGTAGTGGTTTGAGTGATTGCATTTTGTACGAGCTGGTGTGCTTTTGAGTGTAAAGCATAGGTTAAAATAACCAATCAACCCAATAATGTTGTAAACTAGAACAGATCAGAAATTCCGAGTTTAATATTGATTGGCTTGATTTTACAGATTTATTAATTTATTTATTTTTATAAAGAAGCTCGTAATTTTAAAAAAATTAAAGGTTTTGGATTTAAAACTAAATTTATTGAATGTCAATTATAGAAGATGGCGATGTGAACAAATTGAACAAAATCTCATATTTTGATTTCATAAAATTTGTCATCATATTTTACATGAATATGAATGTTTCTTTTTTTTTTTTTTAATGCCAGTAACATTCTTTTTTTTAACATTATCTTCTTAGCTTGGAATTTTTCATTTTCATGATTTATCATTAATTGTTAATTCTAGTAAAAAATAATTGTTTTTAGGCAAAAAAATTGTATCTAACTTGCATGGAATTTAAAAAAAATTCATTTCCTAAAAAACAAATCATTCTTTTACCGTTCATTGAAGATAAAATATTCGAAAAAAAAGATAGAAAATGCTAATTCAATTCTAATTAAGCCCTCTTTGTTTTTTTTTTTTACTAAAAAACACACAAAATCAAAAAACAGAAAAAGAATTACAAATTCCACAAAAATAACAAAAAAAAAAAGAAACAAAATTTAATAAAAAATATCAACAAAAAAATAAACTAAAAAACAAAAAATATGAATTACTTTTATTATAATAAATAATAAAATATATAAACATATTAATTAAGTATAATTAAAATGTTAAAATTGATTTTGATTTTGATTTTAGTTTTGATACTTATATGTTATTCAATAAATTATATCTTTTATTAAAATATTTAAAAAAATGAAAAATATATAAAGGAGCTCAAGGAAAGACAAAGTGGAGGGTAGTGGCGCCGTTGTTCTTTGGAGCCAATACGCGCTCTCTCTCTCTCTATCTGATCGATTTTCAGGAGAAAGTGACAGAAAAAAGAAACGGATATGTTCCAACAGAGCTCAAAAGCAGTGTTTCCGAGTTCGACCACTGAATCAGTCTTTGCTTTTAGACAATCTCATCTTCTTTCTCCGCCATCAACACCTTTCTCACTCGGCTTCTTATCCATGGCCACCGCCGCCGACGACCACCACCGGAAGCTTCACATGCGCCACTCTTCTTCTTCTTCGAAGATGTCCAATCCCATCCTCGCTTGCCGTGCGTCACGTGACTCTCACGAGACCACCACCTCTCGCAGGTTTTTTTTTTTTTTTTGCAAGATATAATTCAATTTCTCACCCTTTTCCCTAACCTTTATGTGTTTCCAATAAATAATAATAAAAAAAAGAACATAAATTTTAGGTCTTCTTTTGTTATGTAAAATATTTACATTCACATGGTGTTTGTTGACTTCTTTGACCAATGACTTGCTTCTATGTTGTTTATGTAGGAAGGATGATGATTCCCCAGTTCATGGACTATCCAAAATGATTGTTGTTGGTGTACTAGGAGGAGGCCAATTGGGTCGTATGTTATGCCAAGCAGCTTCCAAAATGGCCATTAAAGTCATGGTTTTGGACCCTTCAGATAATTGCCCGGCCAGTGCTCTTGCTTATGATCACATGGTTGGAAGCTTTGATGACAGCAATACTGTTCAAGAATTTGCAAAAAGGTCCAAATTAGATACTGAACATATTGTCTTTGTTTGTTGGAAATGAGGTATTTACGTTCATAATCTGTTTCTTGGTAGTTAGATGTGGAGTTTTGACGGTTGAAATTGAACATGTGGATGTTGCCACTCTAGAGAAGCTTGAGCAACAAGGAGTGGATTGTGAACCTAGAGCTTCTACCATTCGAATTATCCAAGTAATTTCCTGAGTAGACTTGTGTACTTGGAATTGTTTTGTCGTGAGCCTTACAAATGTCTATTATAAAATTGCAATTCCCTCCTCTTTTGACACTTGAAAAGATGTTAACTTGCTCTAGTTCTTTGTTTTATGTCTAATGTAACTATACTTTCCATAGTGAATTTATCAAGCTGGGTGTATATTTTCTGTCTTACAGGATAAATATCTCCAGAAAGTTCATTTTTCTAAGCATGCCATTCCACTTCCCAAGTTTATGGAGGTTGTCTTCTCTTTCAAGGAGTTTGAAGGCTAGCTATTGAGTTTGTATTATTGTTTTGGAGTTCATTGAAAATTACTTTGATTAATTGATTTCATGTATTGATAAAACAGATTGATGATCTTGAAGGAGCCAAGAGAGCAGGTGACCTATTTGGCTATCCTCTTATGATCAAGAGCAAGAGGTTAGCTTATGATGGGCGTGGAAATGCTGTTGCAAAGAGTGAAGAGGAGATTCCCTCTGCCATAGCTGGTAAGGAATTGCTATTAGAAAGGAGGTCTTTATAGCTTTTTAGCTTTTCCTTGATTCATAGTGGCTTACTTTCCTTTTTGAAGTCATAGGTTTTCTCTAAATATCTGTCAAATACTAAAAAGGTATGGTATGGCCGCCTAGTTTCCCTGACCATTCCAAATTCATTGGACCTCATGTCAGCTGCAATATATATATATATATATATATATATATATATATATATTGAGTTGAAGATTGTATCAATCTATCATAGAAGTGCCCTTTTAGTTTGAGGTAGATTTTCATATGCAGTTGTCACTTGAGACCGGAGAAGTTGTCTTGTTTTCTGTCCTTTTCTTTCGTGATATCTAATTTTGACCTATAATCTGCTCCTTTTTCTTCCTTTTTGTGTTTGAAATTTTATCTCTTGAAGTCCACTTTGTAAATTGAGTGAAAACACTTAATTTCATTCTTTAATTTTGAAGAATATTCATTTTTACTGCAGCTCTTGGTGGATTTGATCGTGGCTTGTATGTTGAGAAATGGGCTTCTTTCATAAAGGTAGATCTCTAGAATTACTGTTGACTTTTTTTTATTATCTATTTTGCATGATGATATTTCTATTTATATGTTCTCGACAACCTCATGCTTTTGTTTGCACTGTGTAACTGGGATATGTTCTAAACTGCCTGATCATGATACATACAGATGATTATTATTGACTATAGATATGTTTCTGAACTAAACTGATATTATTTAGGAGTTGGCAGTCATTGTAGCAAGAGGAAGAGATAACTCTATCCTGTGCTATCCAGTTGTTGAAACCATTCACAGGTAAGAAATTCAGTTTTTAGTTGTTAGTAGTCTCAGACCTTTCTTCCTCTTTATGTGGATTTCATTTATGTGATGTTATTAACATATGATGAGCTTTGCAAGTCTTTAGATATGATTATAAATTTGTTGGTTCCTATAGGGAAAACATATGTCACATCGTTAAGGCGCCTGCTGATGTGCCATGGAAGATCAGAAAACTTGCAAATGATGTTGCGTACAAAGCTATTAGTTCATTGGAAGGTGCTGGTGTCTTTGCAGTGGAGTTGTTTTTGACGACGGACGGTCGGGTACCGATCTGCTTTCTCTATCAGTTTGTAATTCCCCTCGTAGATGGCCAACTATAATTCAAATATCTGCCTTTGACTGGCCTATTCTTGTTTCAATTAGATTCTACTAAATGAAGTAGCTCCAAGACCTCATAATAGTGGTCATCACACAATTGAGTCCTGCTATACATCACAGTTTGAACAGCATTTGCGGGCTGTTGTTGGTCTACCTCTTGGTGATCCATCCATGAAAACTCCAGCTGCTATCATGTACAATCTACTGGGTGAGGATGAGGTCAGTTCCTTCTCTTTTCCTTTTCCATAATTTCGAGGTCTTTCTTCTTTTAGTTTCTTATAATAAATAAACTAAAAGAACTTTAAACCTGCGTATGATTAACCAAAATTTGCTGTTTTCTTTATGCTTGTGGATAGTGGAATATTTATCAAATTATGAGTTAACATGAAAAATTTTATGGTTTCAGGGGGAGCCTGGTTTCAAAATGGCTCATCAACTTATAGCAAGGGCACTGGGGATTCCAGGGGCTACTGTTCATTGGTATGATAAGCCAGGTTAGGTTTGCTTCAAATTTCCTCAGGCTCATTCTCCCTTCTGTCTCTTTTTTCTCTCTTCTCATACTAATTGGCTGTCATGATGATTTTGCCAGAAATGCGAAGGCAAAGGAAGATGGGTCATATAACTCTTGTCGGCCCTTCTATTGGTGTTTTAGAAGCACGGCTGAATTCAATGTTAAAGGAAGAAGGTTCTGAAAATCAGAGTGAAGGTCAGTTGGCCTAGAGCTGATGGTTGGACTTAGTTTTGTTCAGTTTGTTTTTTATTATACTTATTGAATGCAAATTTAATGGTTCAGTCAGAAATATGCACAGACCTAACTGAAACTGAACTGCTTACAGATTTGAAACTATTGTTGCTTGGTGCTACTCTTTAATACATGTTTCTCCCCTTTTTTGCTAAATGCAGTTGCACCACGTGTTGGGATTATAATGGGTTCTGACTCAGATCTTCCAGTCATGAAGGATGCGGCAAGAATCTTAGATATGTTTGGTGTGTCTAATGAGGTAGCCTCTCACAGCTTAGAAACTTTTATTTTAAATGACGCATTTCCACTTTGATTCCATTGATTAATTTATTTTCAGGTTCAAATAGTCTCCGCTCACCGGACCCCTGAACTGATGTTTTCTTATGCCTCCTCTGCTCGGGCACGAGGCATTCAGGTTATCATTGCTGGCGCTGGTGGTGCAGCTCACTTACCAGGCTAGTTATATAAAAACTATGATTTAACTTCATTCTCCAACATGCATCAGCTGTCTCGGTGACGTTAATAAGGTCTGTTTTGAATTGTAGGTATGGTAGCTGCACTTACACCTTTACCTGTTATCGGTGTCCCTGTCCGTGCTTCTACATTGGACGGAATCGATTCCCTCTTATCAATTGTACAGGTACGCTCAAACTTTTACGTGAGATTACATTTTCCGAATGCAGGATGTTTATTCATATTTCGATGATGCAGATGCCAAGGGGTGTACCAGTTGCAACAGTCGCAGTAAATAACGCTACCAATGCAGGATTGCTGGCGGTAAGGATGTTGGGAGTTGGTGATGCTGATCTATTGGCGAGGTAGGTTCCCCTCACTTTATAAACATAAGATGGATAGTTTTGCCATGTTTACCCCAATCTATTGTTGTGGCACACTTGTCTGGCAGAATGAGTCAGTATCAAGAGGACACAAGGGATGATGTCTTGAAAAAAGCCGAGAAGCTACAAAAAGATGGTTGGGAAGCTTATTTGAATCCTTGAGTAACAACTTAAATCTGATTTTTGGCTATTTCTTTTGGAAATTCACCACAAATTGAGGAGATCAAAGACCAACCATGTCATGATTTTGGCAATTACATTTGGATTGAGACACCACAGCCACAACCTGACCAAACATGAGTGCAAAGAATAGATGAAGGCAAAGAACAAACCTTGTACCCTTTTGTTGTTGAAAGATCATTCTTTTTTTCTCCTTTTCAATTCAATTGAATTCACTAACACTTGACCATGAACCTTTTTTTTTTGGCCAATCGACCATGAACTAGTTGAATCAATTGCATATGGCATCATTTTATTAAATTTTAAATTCCTCATTTACATATAAACCATTACGCAAAAAGCCTACTAAAATAGTGTTCAGAAAACCTGCCTCATAATTACATAATATTTATTTCATGTTATTAAAGAAATGCATGATATAAATTCCTAATATAAATATTATTACACTATTCACTGGGCCTGTGTCCAATAAAATATACATTTATTAAAAAAAATCTGACACTGTCAGTACCATATTTCAAGTATTAGATAAAGTCTTTTTACTCCTTTATATATCAGCATTTATACATAATTGAACATTAAAATTTTCTTCAAGTGAACGTAGAGGGATCTTTTTCGGCTGTTAAAAGTCCCACTCCTTTATCTCATTTTTTAATAAAATTGGCCGTATCTTCAGATAATAAAAGGAATTTTAGATATTAAAATTTAAATTTTAGATTTATTGAAAGTTATTTTTAAGGAGTAGCTTGATGAATTAGCTAAATTAACTTCGGAATCTAATTTTTATTGTATTATTATAATTTAATGTTGAATTTTATTATTATATTTTAATTTATTAAGTTGTTATTATATTTTTAATTTCAATTATTTTTTTTAAATAACGAAATTAAAATTGTTTATATTTTGATTCGAGCACGCTCAAATAAGAGTGTTCATAATTTGATTTTAATCGAATTAATTGATTGAAATTATTTAATTTGATTAATCGGTCAATCATCTATTTAATTTCAGTCGATTAACAAAAATGATTTTTAAAAAAATTTGATTTTTGATTAATTCAATTAAAAAATCGATTAATTTGATTAAAAATTTTAATTAATCGAATTAATCGAAATATAACAAAATCTAAATATAAAATAAAAAAATGAAATTTATCATTTATTTCATAAAGTGTTAAGAGTTTTTACATAATATATTGATATTTGAATATTTTGTTGGATAATTTTATTCAATTTATTTAAAATATGAGAAATTAAGAGTTTGAAATATAATTTAATTAAAATATATTTATTATTCTATTAATAAAAAAATTAATTGAATCAATTGAATTAAATTTGATCATTTAATTTTTGAAATTAATAAATTTGATTCGATTAACAAAAATAAAATAATTTAATTTAATTAATTTGATATTAAATAATTCAATTTAAAATTAACCGAATTAATCAAATAAACACTCTTGCACCCAAACCTACAATAGGGCATGTCATGACATTGAACCCTCAATGTCGAATTGAAACCACGAAGTGAAAGGAAACGAGGGGTTCTCACCAATTATGCCACTTCCACTTCCAGAGGAGACCACGATAAAAATTTTATTGAGTCCAAAAAACGTTGCAAAACCACATGACAAAGACTAATTCAAACTGTGATTCTCAAAATTGAATAAAAAGGTTCATATGGACTTTAGTTTGTTTGGCGTTCAATGTCCGTGTACTTGCTTTAGACCTCCTCTTTATTCAAACTTCAAGTCTTCATCCGCGGATTTTTTGAGTCAACATCGATTCACCTATTACCAAAGCTTTTTTTTTTATATAAAAGAATCGTAATCTGAAAATTAAAAAAAAAAGAAGTATAACTTACATATACTATATATATCAACCCTTAACACAAAATTTTTCATATGAAAAAGACTCAACGAGCTCTTCAAACCAAACTTAAATTTTTCTTTTCAAAATCCAGAACTATGGCTTTTCCTAGAGTTACTAAGTTTACTGTTACATTCGTTTCCGGAATCCTTTTGCTACTTGGTTTTCAACATGTTTTGGCCACGAGGCCTCTTGATGAAGATCGACTACCATCGTTCAACGAAATTCTTGTAGTTCAATCAGTTCAAAGGGTTCCGGTGCCACCATCAGCCGGAAATCCATGTACCAACATACCCGGACGCGGTCAGGGCCGGTGCACGTTGACCGAAATGAACGTCGTAGGTGGTGGCAAAGGCGTTGTTCGTCATGCTCCACCGCCCTTTCCTGACTTTGTCGTGAAGGTTGCTGTAGCATCTGCTGGTAGTAATGAGACTGACCAAAAATAAGATTTCAGCAGCTTAATTTCTATTGGAATTTATTAAATGTTTTTTTTTTTCATAATAAAAAAAAATTGTATACATTTTTTTTAGCAAGTTTCTTGTTCGTTGTAGTAAAATGTATGAAAACAAATGTTAAACAACTCATTAATTTACAATTTTTTAATTATTCCAATGTTTATTATCATCAATATATAAAAACAGAAAATCATTTTTATATATTTGGATGAGGTCTACACAAATTTTAATTAGTTCCATTTTCCTTTGCATCTCTAAAGATGAAAAAAATCATGAAATTCACACGATATGATATGCAAAAAAAAAATTATTTAATATATATATAAAAAATGCATAATAATGATTTAATTAGTTTATATAATTCAAAATTTTCACTGATAATAGATGAAATAATAATATTTAGTATTCAAACTGTTATGAAAGTATAACACTTTGTAAATGGTCTTTCCAAAAAAAAAAAAAAAACATTTTGTAAAGGAAGACTTTAATTTTTTTCATTTTTTGTGAATTTTTAATGGTAATAAAGCAGAAATAGTTTCATTGACCCAATCAAAATCAACACCCACCTAATATTTTGTCAATAATCAAAATCTCTTCAGCAAATCATATCTGAAAGTTTTGAGATACAAAATTTACTTGCATTAATTCTTGTCAAGGACCCAACACTAAGAAAATCTTGACAAATTTTCTTGTATGGTTCTTTAGTTCAGTACTTGTCTTAATAATAAATTGAAGGGTTAATTACTTTCATCATAAATCTTTTTTTTTTCTTTTTACTTACGTAGAAAGGTATTCATGAATTGATAAAATTAGGTCAAAGTTCGATAACTTTTTTAAAGATTCTTTTTAAGATTTGGTCTAATATATCATGTTCAAGAGGCTCAAAATAAAAAAAAATATGTTAAACATATTAATATTTTAAATATATTTTTAAATATAAATTAAATTAAAATTTTTTAAAAAGTTAATTCCTCGAATTATATTCAAACTAAAAAATTTCTATTCAAGACCTAACCTGCGAACAAATCTACTTAGGCAACACATAACCAGCTTTATGATCAAATTTAAAAGATAATTACTTTCATTAGTGGAAACTAAGGATGCATATTTCTTGAATCTAAATATGTTTTGATATTGAATTTCAAAATTACTTTAAGTGGAAATTTTGAATAACACTAACATTTATTAAAGAAGATAAATGTAAAGAGAAAAAACTTATATGAAATTTCATAAGTAAAATTCGTTAAATTCTTTATCAGTAATAAGTAAATAAAAATTAAAATAAAAAATTAAAACTAATAGATTAAAAAATTTCATCACATAGATTAAACATGTATATTTTGAAAAATTTTTAATAAATTTTGATATATTTATTAAATAAATATTTTTTAAAAAATATTAACAGAATTTTTACCGTTAAATAACTATCAATCAAATTTAAATTATAAATAACATTATAAATAATTTTTTATGTATTATTAATCTTTATATTAAATTCTATCAATATATCGATTTAAATTTTTTATTATTTTATTTACTCAATTTTAATAAAAAATTTTATGAACTTTACTTATAAAATTTTATGTAAAATTTGTTTATATATATAAAAAAAAAGACAAAAGGAAAAAAAACAGTTAATTAATTCAATATTACCACCTATCTCTATAAATTAAAATGGTCTAAACTTTAAAACTGCATCTTCATATATAGTTTCTTTAAAGAAATATAAAATATTCATGAAAATTATAGGCAAAACAAAACATTAAAGGAAAATTATTTCATTCATTATAAGTGAAATTTTAGATTTTACAAATGTAATTAAATAGAGTAATACATATTTATTCGAGTATATTAAAATATAAAACATGTTTTAATTTTTAATCCATTTGCAAAATTAAAAGTTTTTACTATATAAAAAGACAAACTTGCAAGTAAGTTATATATATATTTTCATTTGTTTTTATCCTTTAGGCATGGAAGTGTGTGTCCTTAGGGGTGTGAAAAAAAAAATGTGGGTCATAAAATTCATAGTAATAACCTCATACCATGACCCCTTTCTTGGCAGTCACATGGTAAGTGGACAGTACAAGGAAAGCAAAGCCAAAAATAAGTTTGATCATTTATATATTTGTATAAAATAAAATATTAATAATTTATATATTTATATTATATTTTATATAAAAAATATATAATATAATATATATTTTTTATTTATATTATTATTTTTATATTATATTATTATACCGTATTTAAAATTATCATTCCTTAAACAAAAGTTCAAGGCGCCGTAAAATTACAAAAATTTTCGAAGCCAAGGAAATGGCATGGAAATGGAAAAGTTTGGTGACATTACAAACCAATGAACATCAACATGTGAAGGTTGTTGTCATAAACAACAAATCATCAATTTCCCACCTTAGCTGTCAAATTTATTTACTGCAAAACCTAGGAAAAAGTTTTTGGCACTCTTTCGAATGAGTTTTTCATTCCCACCAAGCCCCATTGTTGTAGCTTTAATGAATCACAAGGAGTAAAGTATGTGCAAGTGCCATGAATTTATTTTTCCTCACATCCCAAGCATGAAACTTTAATTTTGTTCTTCAACGGGAAACTATTTTTCACATTTATTAAAAATGGTGGAGATATTCACTATTTTATTTTAAGATGATTAATATAATATTAAATTTAATAGCTAGCATCTATACAAGGTAGCAAAAGCAGTGAAAATAAATGGAGAAAAGAAATAAAGGATTGGAATTTGAGTACATACTGTAATCACTTTTCTTGTTAAGATAATTAGAAATGATAACGGTTCGAATTAAATTGAATTTAATTTTTTTAATAATATATAATATCATAATTTTTTAAAATTTAATTTGAATTTGAATCGATTTTT